CTCCACTGCTGTGGCTCTCCTTCTTCCCACTGTCTCCAGCCACTCCAGGGACTGCTTAAAAGTGGAATTGCACAGCAGTCGTCCTTCCGTGACTGGCATGTTTCACTTAGCGCAGTGTCCTCCTAGCTCATCCAGGTCACAGCACATGTCAGGGGCGTTATTTTCTAAGTTCACTAATAATTCTGTATCACATGATACTTCTCCATCCATCTGGGAATGGGCACTTGGGTGGTTTCCAGATTCTGGCTCCTGTGAATAAACCGCAATGAATGTTGCTATACGCCTGCTGACCCTGCTTCCAGTTGCTCTGTGTATATTCACAAGTGTGATTGCTGGGTTCTGTGCTAATTCTACGGTCAATTTATTGATCCTCTGCCACGTTGCTTTGATTGGGGCCTACGCTGCTTTACATTCCATCATGGATATGTGTTCACTGCACTTGGCCCTTGTCAGCCTTCAACACATAGATATGATTCCCTACCACACTTTAATATTCCTGAAATTTAGAAACAGTTCATTATTAATACCACATCTTAGCGCATCAAGATTTCTATTGCTTTCTTTCTTGGAAGATCATAAAATTATATCCAATTCCTTTTAGCTATGGTGGAGTTGAGCCACTGGAAGGCTATACTGCAATGATCATATGCCCACTTATGGCCCATTCAGACACCATCTAGCAATTGGGACCCCCAAGAAGGACTCAATTCCCTGCTAAGTGACCCTCTGTGGCTCTTGCCAGGTCTGGGAGCCATGCACCCTTTTACCTACAGTTCTTAGCTTCTGTGTGTAAGCTCATCAGCTGTTCAAGGTCTCCAGCATGCCGCCTCCCTCCTGCCTATCCTCTTTAGGTCTGGCAATGATGTCATTGTCCCTTTCCCTGCCTGCTGCCTTCTCTCACCATATTTACTCTCTTCCTGAATCTACTTATCTCACTCGTTCACTGGCCTCCAGCCTCTCCCTCGGCAGAGCCCACTTCCAGGTCTCTGGCCAGCAAAACTGTTTCCTCCCCCAGGCCCTCAGGGACCACCAGCCCAATTCCTCCATTGGTCTGTCACCTTTTTGAGTATTTCCTGTGGTTTCTATTTTTTCTCCCTTAATCTGTTTTTTCTCCGATCCACCTCTCCACGCCCCCAAGCTGGAAGCCTCTGTTTTCTGTCCACTTCCCCTGAAATCCCCACACCCTTCCGCCCTCTCCATCCTTCCTGACTCCACCCCTCCAGGCAGACTCAGTGTCCTCGGGCCCAGGGGTTCCCCAGGATACTCCACCACCAGAAGTGGGGCCACACAGACCCTGTGTTACCAGGGTCATTTGTTATAGACTTCCAGCAACATGCTGACTCCCAGGTGTCTCTGTCTCTACCCAGGGGCAGGGTGAGTGGGTGGGGGAGGTACTCGGGGTGCTTAGAAAACTGAGAAAGAGCTCTTTGTAAGCAACTGGTCCCAGCGTTGCCTGATGGGGTCCTGCCCCTTTCCTAGATGTACCCTATATTAGTTCTACCCATGTGACCCCCTAACTGGGAGGACAGTGGTGCTGGGGACCATACCATCTTACTATCAGTCTTCTCTGGACCTTCATGTGTATGTAAATGTCAGGGGAAGGATCTTCTACGTTCTGTAGATGGTTCTGCGATTGTGGGCTCCTCGTCCATGCTGCTAGAACAGGTGTCCACAGGTGCATGACATCCTGCCTGGACCACCAGCCTCAGCTTGGCTGGTGAAGAAGGGCAAGACCAAGACAGGAGGGACATAGGAGGGGAAATTAAGATGCAACCTGCTCTGCGTTAGCCAATGCTTGGTCTTTTGCTTCACCTCTGAAGATCTCCTTGTAAGAGATGGGGCTTACACCTGTGGTGCATGAGGCACCTTGGTGATCTAACAGGGGTCTTAGCCCACCTTGCAGCCCAGGCTCTTTCCTAGCTCAGCTCTAGCTTCTGTGTCCAGTGAAATGAGGGTGCTCTCTGATGCTCTTTGGCTAGCCAATGCCGTGTAACTCTTAAATGCCATGACCTACATCCCAACTCATACCCACCAAGGGAGAGTTTCTGGTTCTTATTACCGAATGATCCATGTTCAAGGACCATTTGAGTTCTTCCCATTCACAATCACTGGTTTCTCCCAATCTTTCATTCATTCATTCATTCATTCATTCACCAAGGATATCACAACACTCACCATCTTGGGATGTCCATTGGGTTATGGGGCCACAGAGACTAAAAAGCTTTAGCTATAGTATATCTACTGGACACATGAGAGTGTGCAGGCCTTGTCGGGGGTGCCATGGCATTTTAGTCTTTGTGTTCCTGTCACCCAATATACAGGCAAGAAGAGCAGATAGATGTTCAGTCATCTTTGGTGAATATGAATGAGCAAACAGCCGGGTGGCACCAGAGGGACTTGAAGAGGAAGGGATTTTAAGGTTTGTTACACTTCTTCAAAGAAGGGGCTCTTCCTTGTTTTGACTCCCATCCCAGTGGCTATAAGTTCTGCTTGTTGGTGACTCCCACAGGACCGAAGGTTCACCTTCCCAGACTCTGTTGACAAGGCTAGAGATCGGTGCCACCTCTTCCTGTAATGTCTCCCTTTCATAGATCCCAGCCAGGCAGCCCTGTTCCTCCAGCTCCTTCTCCTGGGACTGAGATTCCTTCTGAAGTATGTGTTTGTATGTGGGCACACATATGTGTAATATGTGCATGTGCCCATGTGCAAACAGGGCTGCAGGGGCAGGAGTCCCATCTGCTGGGAGTGCTAGAGGGTATGGTGACACTGTGGGCCACAGTGGTGCTGGGACGTGGTGCTGTCAATCAAGGACATGGTTATGTTGGAGTACACAGAGACACTGTGGGCCACAGTGGCGCTGGAGAAGATGCTGTCTGCACAATGGGATAGAGTGTATCTCTGGGGCATAGTGACATTGTGGGGCATGATAGACACAATGATCCCAGTAGACATGGTGACTACAGGGATATACTGATGTGGTGGACACGGTGGTGCCAGAGACATTATGATGCCCACGTCCATGGTGGTGCTGGGGACAGTATGACGCTTCCTTCCTCTCTGGCATTATCAGCAAAGGCTGTCATTGTGAGTGACAGTGAACTTCAGGAGGGACAAATGGCCCCCATGGGCAGGCAGTTGGGAATAACTGTTCCTGGAGCCATAGTAACATAGGCTGGAGGGCTAATGGGAGCAGCTTGCAGGGATTAGCTGGCAGGGAGGAGGTCTCAGGAGCTAATTATAGATCTGTCCAGAGATGAGAGGATTACAAGGCTCCTTTGTGCCCCGTGCTTTTGAAAATGAGAGAAGAGTTATTTTCTGTCCAACAAATGGGGCCAAATAAAGAGCAGTGCCAGGGAGGTGAGCTGTGGCCCTGGTAGCCCCCCGCCCACCCATGTATATTGTGGCACTGAGCACCCCTGAGTCGGGAAAATCCTCCTCTAACCCCATCAGCTCAGATCCAGCCTCAACAGGAAGCTCTAGGAGGGTCTGGTTATCAATGCACCTTTACTTCTCAGTCATGAGGCTCGGTGCCCTGGAGAGCACAGGTTTGCTTCGCAGGTGGGGTAAGCTGGAAAAGGCATGGCCTGGAGGGTAGGAGCTGCCAGGATGCTATGCTAACAATGGGAGTTGGAGATGTCTCAACAAAGAGGACAGCCCAGCCACAGTGGGGTGCAGAAGGGCAGGGCCACCTCACAGGAAACCTTAGAATCCTGTGAGAAGAGGCTAGGCTCACAGAGTCGACAGGGGACACGTGAGAGAAGCTTTTGAATAGTGGAATAAAAGTGAAGACTTTTTCTACAGATTTGGGGAGCTGGGAAAGTCTGGGGAAACAAGAAGAAGCTGGGTTTCAGAACAACCTGGCTGCCATAGGCAGAGGGGAGTATGGTGACCTGGGACAGGAGAAACAGATGAAAGGGTTTTGCAAGTGTCCCGTGGGAAGCAACAGGGCTGCTCACCGTGGGGTAGTGGGAGTGGAAATGGACAGTGGGAACAGGTCTGTGCCTTAGTCTCTCCTGTTGGTGGCAGCAAGCTGATAATCACCCATAGAAAAGACTTTAGGGGGACCTTAGACATAGCTTTAAAATTTTGTATTTTTTAAACAGTGTGTGTGTGTGTGTGTGTGTGTGTGTGTGTGTGTGTGTGTACATACACTCATGATGGTCAGCGAATAACTTTTGGAAGTTGGTGCTCTCCTTCCACCATGTGTGTCCCAGAGATCGAGCTCAGGTCATCAGTCTTGGCAGCAAGTACCTTTTTACCCACGGAGCCATCTTGCTAGCCCATAACTTATTTTTAATACCAATGCAAACAACAATCTAGTGAAGAAAACATGGGCCATGAAGTGATGCATCTGGCTTTAAGTTATATAGACAACTGTTTCTAGTCACCTTGTCTGATTCCCTGTCCCTAGAGGGTTTGGAACCAGTGCTTGAACCCAAGACATCCACCTGACAGCTGGAGGAATGGAGTTGAGAGAGACAGCTCCCCAGGGTTGATGGGGAGACAGCAGGAGAGGGAAGCCGGCCACCCAAAGCATTGTACCTGTGAGTATCACTCTTTGTTCTGTCTACCTACATTTTTTAGATGGGAAAACATGAGGACATTCAGTGCGGGTGGAGGACAGGTAGCATGTTGTCAGGAGAGGGCAATAGAAACAGCTAGAGGAGGGAAGAAAATAAAGACTTTTCACCCTTGCTCTATGTTAAGTGCTCCAGATGTATAAATTCATTTGCTTACTATAACCCCTATCCAGAATAAGCTGAATTCTACAGATGAGATTATGTCATGGGGGGTGTAGGGGTTGGCATAGATTTTTCCAGTGCTAAATCTTTGCCTTTTAACCCAGATGGATCGAACTGTCTCTGCACAGCTGGATGGACCTAATTTGCGGTGTCAGGAAGCACCTCCATAATGAAAAAAAGAGAGTAGATAGTCCTAAGCTATGACTTGCCTCTGAGCCTCTCTTCCTTCTTTGATATAGCTGTCTGGGCCTCCACATCATGAACAGCACCCCAGGAGACACAAAGGATGTTCCTGCCCCAAGCCGCCGGCAGTGTCTTCTGCCTTCTGTGGCTCACACTCCCTCTGTCACCGAGGTGACACCAGCTAAGAAGATAACCTTCCTCAAGAGAGGGGATCCCCAATTTGCTGGGGTTCGCCTAGCTGTTCACCAGCGTACTTTCAAGACCTTCAGCGCCCTAATGGATGAGCTGTCTCAGCGCATGCCTCTTTCCTTCGGAGTGCGCTCTGTCACCACCCCCCGGGGCTTACATGGCCTCAGTGCCCTGGAGCAGCTGCAAGATGGGGGCTGCTACCTCTGTTCAGATAAGAAGCCCCCTAGAACTCCCCGAGAGCCAGGCCGGCGGCAAAGGAAAAGCCCCTCTGCTGGACAGTCACGGGGGTTTGAAGGTGGCCATGAAGCTCCAGAAACATCCTCTTCCTGGAAGGGACTCATGCCCCCAAGGAGGCTGACACTGGTGAAGAATGGGGATCCTAGATGCCAGCAGACAGTGGTTCTCAGTCACAGGAACACCAGGAGCCTGAAGGCCTTCCTCAGCAAAGCCTCGGAGCTTCTGCACTTTCCCGTGAAGCAGGTGTACACAATCAGCGGGAAGAAGGTAGGCTCCCTGGGCATGGGGGGCAGGCATTACCTTTGGACCCAGGGTCAAAATACATAGTTGGGCTAGGAAGGCATCCGTGATTGCCCACTGCTAATTAAAGGTGAAGTGTGGAGACATTGGGTCAAATTTGTTAACCAAACAACCATCATCAGGCTTGGAGAGATGGCTCAATTAATAAAGCACTTGCCAGGCCAGCGTGAGGACCTGAGTCAGATTCTCTTGCCCCATTATCCTCTCTCTCTCTCTCTCTCTCTCTCTCTCTCTCTCTCTCTCTCTCTGCCACCCTACTCATAGCTCCCACTTAGTAAGTGCTTAGCACACAGCAGGCTATGAGCGTTGCACATACTCCTCATTTGTTATGCCATCCTCTCAATAGCATATTTCCATGAGAGTTTAGGGCAGGAAACAGATCACTTAGGGTACCTTGAGCATTGAGAGATTTAGCACAGGACATCAGGAGGCAGGTCTGGAAAGCTGGAATGTGGGATTGGGGCTGGGTCTGTAGAGACAGCTCACCACATCCTGCAGGTAGCTCCTGCCTTTGCTGGAAGCACTGTGAATGTAGAGTTCAAGAACACATTGGTGGGGTTGACAGCCAATGGGAAGCAGTTCTCAGAGAGCACAGCTGCGTCTCAACTCTCAGGAGTAACTGGAGGGAAGAGTCTGCCATGACCACCTCGGCTGTCATCACCTGATTCTTACATGCATATAGCGACACCAGCCAGAAGTGGGATGAGGTAGTGTCTACCAAACAGCTTCCTTCTCAGTCTTGATCAAAGGCACCAGTGCATGGAGAATACAGCCTGCACTCAGTCCTAATGCAAAGGCTAGTTAAGTGTAGCTGGTACCTTTCTAGGTTCTGCAGAACATGAGTCTCTGACAAAGGTGGGGATTTCAGGAAACCAAGCTGATATAGGCTGATTTAGTTCTATCTCCCCACAGTCTGGGCCTGTATCTGCTTAGTGCTGGGGCCTCCTATAGTCAGAACTGTATTTACTAACCAGTGTGGTGGTGCATGCCTAGAATCCCAGCACTCATGAAGGCAAGAGAATTGCATATTGGAGACCAGCCTGGGCTACACAGAGCGTCTAGGGTAGCCTCAAGAAATAAAAAAAAAGCAAAAGCATCATATCTACTTACTGCCACAAGCCACATCACCTCCATGATGTCTGTCTTCTAGTGAGAATAAGAGTCACTCGCATCCCCAGGTGTCTGTGGTTCACAGAAAAGCAAACAGTTCACATCACTTGCCTTGGGAATGCGTATCACATCCTACAGGGACACAGCTCGACCTCCTAAAGGGGTGCCTCTCAACTGGTTCCCATGTGGAATCTTCCAGAGAATATCCATCCCATTATTCCACATTATAAGGGTGATGGAGCATATAGCTACAAAGTGAATTCTTATTGTTTGTCTTGAGAGAGAGTCTCACTATGTAGCCCTGGCTGGCCTGGAACTCACTATGCATTCTAGGCTGGTCTCTGCCTCTCGAGTGCTAAGATCAAAGGTGTACATCACTATACTCAGATACACAGTCATTTCTATTGGTGTCAGCCCACTGCCTCGTATCTTCTGCTGTGATGTCAGCCATCTTCCTGGGTTGTACCCATGTTAAGTGAGCATTCTGTAAGCCCAAGATGGTGATCCTAAAAGAGAATGGATGAGGAACATCGTTAGCCAAAACAAATGTCTACTCCATTCCAGTGAGTACAAACTGCCCCCAACAGAAATGCCCTCATTATATAACTACAGTGGTTCAGAGGGGTTCAGTTTGATTAGCTTCCCACCGGGTGTCTGGCACCCACTGAGCAGGCCAATCTATCCATGTGATAATCACCTTTTGGTGACCACTTACCAGTTTCCTCACCCACCAGCCAGTTGTGGGGGAGCCTTTGGGAGCTGCTTCTCTAGATTTCCTTGCCACCAACCCTCCAATCTTGGTCTTTCTGAGTCCTTGACTCTCAGATGGAATTCCTAGCCACTACCTAGCCATTGTTCCTTCTGTAAGAGTCAATCAAATCCAATAATCCCCTGAACAGTCCCTGACACCCTTCATGGTCCCTGAGTGGATTTGTAATGCAAGAATCCCTGGCAATCCACTGCCTCCTCAGTATTTGTGAGATGGAAGAGAAATCTACCCAAAGAATAAATGTACCTTGAAGTTAAAAGAACAAAGGGCTCTCTTAAAGAACTGGGCTAGGTGGTAGAGTAAAACAAAGTTGTGTGTGATTAGGGGGAGGGGATATGTGTCCCTTGAATAAATTCTAAAGAGCACGATTGCTGGCTCATGTGCTTGGTTTTTGCAAGAAACTGTCTTCCAGATTGGCTAGACCACTTTTCATTCATATGGGACATGAGTAACAGGTCCTGATGTCCTACCTTCTTACATTTGGTGTTGTTGGTGTTCTGGGGTTTGATTATTCTAATAGTTCCATGGGGGGGTATGTAATGATAACTCTTTCTGCCAGCCGCCTGAGTTCCGCCACCATGTTAGGGCCCCCAAATAACACAGAGAGATTTATATTAATTACAATGCTGCTGGCCAGTGACTAGGATTTCTTATCTGCTAGCTCTGCCTTAAGTATCAATCATAACTATTAATCTATATATTTTATAAAGACTTATCGAGGATACCAGCGGAATTTGTCCTCTCTTCACATGGCTACCCTGCTGTTTACTCCATTTCCCAGAATTCTCCTTCTCTCCTAGTCCTGTCTAACTTGCTCCCCTATTGGCCAACAGTGCTTTATTTATCAACCAATAAGACAAACATATACACAGAAAGACATCCCCCATCAGGGGTGTTTGTCTCTTTGTTACTGAGCACACCCTTCTAATTTGAAATTATTTAAAAGAACACGATGTACACTTTAAAAAGTCCCTGACAGTGCATACTGCCATTCATGCTGTAATACAGGCCTTCAGATATACAGGGCCTCTGGGGCTAGGGAAATACTCTAAGGGTGAAGTCTATTTCCTGGAGTGATGTACCCTGCTCATCTCTGAGCCAGCAGTTGGCAGAAGCATGTCCTGCTGGTGCTTCTAAGGGAAGGGTAGAATTTGAGAATAGACGGGCTCTCTGGGAGAGCAGTGCTTTGCCCTCATTGGTTCACTCAAGAAGAGGCAACTGGCTTGAATTATACTGGAAAGTCACCAAATACTGAAGAAAACTCTACCTGGGGACATAATAGGCTGATAATCAGACATCCACATGAAAAGTGCTGCAAGAAATCGTGCTAAAGAGCACGATTGCTGGCTCATGTGCTGGCTCAAGTACTTTGGGTACTTTCTACCCAAAGTAACCTGTGGTCACAGGCTCTCAGATGGTGGAGACAGAAAATGAGATCCTGCAGGCAGTGGGTTCTCAGACCCTGGCTTGTGATGGAAGCATTGTGGGATGTGGGAAACCAGAATGGCCTGTGCAAGAGTTAGAAGAGCTGAGGAGATCCCATCTTCCTTCCTGGGCCTTCTGGAGCAGAGGGTCTCTGTAGACCAGGCTCCCAACTCCATGTTCCCCTCCTCCAGGTGGACTCCCTGCTGACACTCCTCGATGGTCCCTCCCTGCTGGTGTGTGCTGGGAATGAGGCCTTCAGACGTCTGGAGATGGAAAATGTTGGAGGGGCCAGGACAAGAACCTTATCTGGTGTGACTGCAAGGAGTGGACGTGGTGAGTAGGTTCCGGACCTCCATGGCTTCTTTCAAAGGGGACAGTGGCTCCATGGGCTTGGTTGTTATCACTTCCAGGTCCATGGGAAAGGTGCTTTGGCCCAGTTCCTAGGTCTTGCAGGCACTTTGGGTCTCTCTTGCTTCTTCCTTCTTCCATCAGCCTTAACTGAGCAGAACGTTGCTGGGGATGCTTGAGATCAGTGTAGACTTTGACACATGGAAATTTGAGCTCAAGGTTGCTGGGGTCTAAAGTTACCAATTAAGATTCCCGGCGGTATCTGTCAGTCCATGGAAACAGTAGCTCTTCTAATTCTAATAGATTCTTCATCTCAAGTATTTCCTGAACCCCTTAAGTCATTTGAAACATTCCAATAAAATTTGTTAAAAAAAAAAAAAAAAATTCCCGGCAGGCATGTCATCGTGGAGGTGCTGAGCCCTGTGAGTATAGGTAGCACTGAGTCCTTCAGAGTCATGACTGTCTTAGGCAGTAGTGGTGGTCTATAGCTGGCTACTGTGATTAAAGCATAGCATGACCATGGGCCATTCATTCAGACATGTAGCTCCATCAGAAAAGCCCACAGTGGGCAAAGGTGTAGGCTTCATCATTAAAATATGCATTATTTTGAGAACATGATTCACAAATGCAGAATAAAATTACAGCCAAACTACTGGACTGATAATAGAGTTTGGTGAATAAACAAAGGGCTGTCCTTTGTGGAACTCCATTAAGAAAATGACCAGCAACAGTGCCAGCAGCTGTGGCATACCAGTGGCTGGGACACAAAGACAATGTCTGGCACATACTAGAAGAGCACCAGGCTTGCTTGATCATGAGGTCTGTCCTGCTGGACATAAGTGCATCCCACCAAGCATAGTTTGGGAGATGAAATGAGAAACACTCAGGACTCCATCTTCTCTGGGGCTACTTTATATCACCTGAGGCCCCACCCTTTTCTTCTGTCTGTGGGGCAGGCTAGACTATCACAAACTGGTGTGGTGTGTCTAGACCTATTCTGGCAATCTTCTTCAGCCCATGAGCCTGGCTATTGTGAGGGAGATGGATCACCATGATGTCGGCTTACAGTTTATGGTCAGATCACAGGCAGTAGCCTGAGCTTGCCTCCTGGACCAGGTCAATGAATTTCCACAGTGTGTTTCCACCTGCAATGCCCCAACTCTCCAGACCCCGATTGTGCTGGTGCCTTTCAGCAAGCATTCATATGCAGCGAATGTTCCGTGCAAGAAGCTTTCTGTGCAACAACTCAATGTACAGCAAGTACTATGTGCATGGCTGCATATACTGTAGCAGTGTCAATGAGCTGCAGATCTAGAAATAGCGGGTACCTGGTAACTTTGGGTCAGATTCACACTCAGTTCTTTCTAGTGCTCTGTAGCATCCACAGGACCTTCTGGAATGGCTCTGCCCTTGTCTTTCTGCTGTTGCTTTCTCCAGTAACTCAATGCCTTGTTCTCTTCTCTCTTGCTCCGCTGTGCAATAGGTGGCTGGGGACCAAATGCCAAGCAGAGTGTGATGCATTCGAGGGCCAGGTCTGGCAGCAGGCCGCAGCAGGTGTCCTTGATGTCAGAGAGATCTGGTCTCAGTAACCATACAGCACTGGGTCATCAAGACTGGGGAGGGCCTGCTTTGGACAGGCGCCCTCAGGACACACCTGCTCCACATGGCTCTTTGGTGGCTGCTGATGATGTGGAGAAGAAGGTCTGCATGAACGAGGATGGCAGCCTGTCTGTGGAGATGAAAGTCCGCTTCCAACTTCTAGGAGAGGATACCCTGCGGTGGTCACAGAGGGTGGGGCATACCAGTGTCTTCACTCCAGCCAGTGGGGAAGGCCAGGTCCTGAGGGAGGCTGATCCCTTCTGCTGTAGACAGGAAGGCTACCCCTGGGGGTTCTTGGCACATGGGGCTCAGGGACTGGGCCCCTATGATGGAGGATACCAGGGAGTCTTTAATTTGGACCAGGAATCACAGCCCAACTATGACATATGGAGGAACCCCCTGACCACCCCTGGGGGTACAGGTCAAACTCGAAGGAGGAGGTGGGGCCTGTCTAAGCCCTCTGGATGCAGGAGCCACTGCAGCCAGGTGGCCAATGATAGGAAAGGACATGGCAACAATAATGCCAGCCCAGTCTCAAGTCCCAGGCACCCTAGAAGTGCCCAGTCAGGCCCCTGCTGTCCCTGGACAACAGAAGGTGAGACAGACAGTGACACCTTGCATCCAGCCTCCTCAGCCTCTTCAAGTGGGGTTGAGCTAGAAGCTGAGAAGGGCCCCTGCCTAGCCACAGGACCCTGTGGCTTGGGACCTGAGACCCAAGGTATAGAAAGGGCCCTTTCTGATACATCAGTCAGTGCTGAGTCTCACGAAGGGTCCAGTGAGTGTGGTGGCCAGTGCCACAGAGGCTCAAGTCAGGTGAGGGTCATGGTTTCCCAGGGGCAAGCCACCCAAGGTATTTCCACCCAGAGCCTCTTATCTTTGAGCCGCATGGATTTTCAGACAGAGCAGTGTAATCGGAGCACCAGGGACCAGGAAGCCAGAGGTGAGCCTGACCTGAGGCTGCCCCTGGTTCCAGGCTGTTCTGGCTCTTCAGACGGTGAGAGAGGTGCTCTCTCAGCTCCTGCCAGTGCCCCAGCCCAACAAAGGCAGAAAAAGCAGAAGAGGCCAGTTAGTATTGTATGCTTGCCTGATGTCTCTATCCCTTGCCAAGGGGCTCAGAAAGGCCATGCCAGGCAGTGTCATTATTGTAGGGACACTCAACCCTCACTGGACACAGCCTTGCAGATGCCAATGCCTCAGGAAGGAGAACAGGCTTGCCCAGGAGGCCCCACACCACGATTTCCTCCAAACTCACCCAGTGCTGAAAATCAAGCCTCCGGGCATCTTAGATCACCATTCTCTAGGTCTCTTGACTTTCAGGACCCACAAGCCACCAGCAAAGCCAACATCATACCCACCAGTGACTCAGACTGTGCTTCCAGCTTTTACCATCCTAGCACTTGCTCTGCAGAGCCAGCAGGAGACACTGAGTGCCAAGCTCGCCCTCCAGCTCCCACTCCTGTTCACAGGGAAGAGGTTGGTTGCCTGTGGGAAGATGCAGGGACCACCCCTGAGCCTTTCTCACCCTCTGTTTTGCTGGACCCATGGCCTGAGGTAGAAGATCCTGGAACCCACCAAGATTGCTGCTGTTTACAGGTTGGAGCATCCTCTGTCCTCATAGTCCCCACTGGTCAAGCACAGGCACCCATCTCTGAGGCCTGCTGGGGGACCAGCAGCTTCTGCCCAACTCCCCCACAGGAGCAAACATGTTCCAGAAATGATCCTACAAGCAGCAGTGGTCCCAGAAGTGACCATAATCAAGCTGATGGCCATGATGAGCCCAGGAAGACTCTGCTGGGGAAGTCCCCTGGTACCAGGGGAAGCCTTGAGGAGCAGGCAGATGGTGGTGTGACACCCACTGCTCTGCCCCACACCTCTCCAGATGCTGTGGTTCGTGAGTGGCTAGGCAACATCCCAGAAAAGCCAGTACTCATGACATGGGAGATGGAAGGTGAGAGCACAGAGGTGGCCAGCGATGGCCCAGAAAGTCCTGAGGGGGACCTTGGTGATGACTGTTATTTGAAAGCCCTGAGGGAACTGGCTCAGGCCAGACAGCAGCCCCCAGAAGGGGTCACTGATGAGCAGCCAGAGCCAACAGGAGACCTCCCAGGGTCTGGTCCTGAGTACTACAAGCCAGGAGGTGACCCCCATCACGATGCAGCATCGGGTGAAGGAGTCAAGGCCCCCGCAGAAGCTGGAATAGGAGAGGAGACCACTGTGGACCATGGTGTGAGCCTATATGCGCTCCCCAGCAGGGTCTCAGCCTCCACACAGATCATGAAGGCCCTGCTGGGCTCCAAGCCAGACCGGCCCAGCAGTCTACCAGAGATCTCTAGCACAGTAGCCCAAAGGCTCAGCTACTCTGCTGGGGCCCTCATTGCCTGCCTTGCCAGGCTCCATTTCTTTGATGGCAACACCAGGCTTGAAGAATCCCCTAAGTACAAGGAGATGCTGAACATCTCCCAGGCCTTGTGGCCTGGGAGTGAGCTTGGGCAAGCCCAGCTGGCCATTGACCTCAGGAAGCTCTCTTCACACCAGGCTCTGCTGGGAACTGAGGACTTCACACCTACCTCCTCCTCTGGTGTGGATGTCAGCAGTGGCTCTGGAGGCTCCGGTGAGGGCAGTGTGCCCTGTGCCATGGATAATACCCTGGCTCCGGACAGGGTAGATTTACCCTTGAAAATCCCCTCTCAAAGACCCGATTCCGGGAACCAGGGGTACCCAGGGGTACTGAGTCATTCCACAGCCTCATCTGGCTCCCAGATGTGGCCTTGTGCCACCAGTGGGCAGGAGTCAGGTAAAGGTGGCAGGAACCAGAAGTGGAGCAACACTCCAGAACAATCCATCCAAAGCACAACGCTGGAAGAGGAGGCACAATCAGAAGAGAAAAAAGGGAGAGTAAAAGAGAGGCTACAGGGAGATGGAGTCCATGGGAAAGGGCTTCCAGAAGAAAGGTCTGGAGTCTGCAGTCAGGAAAAGTTTCCCGCTGGCTCCTGGGACAGGGAGAGCTCACCAGAAGACACCAGAATGTCAAAAGATGAAGCAGGAAGAGATGTTGCCTCCGGAGGACTATGGCCCCTAGATGGGAGAGAGGAACCCACAGAGTCCCCTTGCCGTTTCCGTGAGAGCAACTCAAACACTAATGAGGGTCAAAGTCTTCACGTATTGGAGCTGGGGTTGGAAGGGAAGTCCAGAGTGGCTGCAACGGGCAGCGAGCAAGCAGGTATCAAGGCCAGCTCAAGAACCAGGGAGACAAACACACCCATTGCCCACAGGAGAGCTCTGGACCCTGACCCCATCTGGGTGTCCAAGCTGCTGAAGAAGGTAGAGAAAGACTTCATGGCTCACCTGGCTGGTGCCATAACTGAACTCCGAGCCCGATGGAACCTTCAGGACAACAGCCAACTGGACCAGATTGTGACTGAGCTGGAGCAGGATGTGGGCCGACGGCTTCAAGCAAGCACTGTCAGGGAAGTGAGGAAGATCCAGAGCCGGGCAGGGAGGATGGTCCCAGAACCTCCCCGGGAAGCCCTCAGAGGTCAGACATCTCTACAGACAGCACTGCGCAGGCGTCGCCTTCAGGGCCTGAGAAACTTCTCAGCCTTCCCCGGCCAGGGTGCCCCCTCCCTCGCCTTGGAGGATGGGTCCACTCTCAGCACAGCCTTAGGGACCAGGCCAGGTGTGGGGGGAATGGGGGATGAGTTCTGTCCCTGTGAAGTCTGCCTGAAAAAGAAGATGACCCCTAGATTCCCAAAGGGTGCAACAGCAGTCTTCAGCGCACCGGTCCGAAAGGCCTTTGACTTACAGCAAATTCTACAGAGCAAGAAAGAAGGTAGGAATGGAGAGGCCATGGAGGTGCCCCCCCAGAAGGCAGGGATGATGTTGCCTCAGGAGGACCCTCAAACTGTCCAGGGAACTCATCAGAAGCAGGAGCTGAGGTTGGCCCCGGGGTCTGGGGCAGATGAGGAAGAAGAGGGGAAAGGGAGGCAGAGGCTGAGAGGAGAGGAGGACTCTGAGTTCTTGAAAGCAGGAGCTGGTTGCCATGTTCCAGAAGAGGACGCAGCCACTGCAAGAGAAGGGGAAATCCACATCAGTGCTGCACAAGAAAACCAGCAGTTAGAGGAGTGTATGACTGAGGAAGAAACCCAGCACCAGAGCTTTAGAGAAGGAGATTCTTGGGAGGCTTCAGGAAGACAGGGTGATGATGGTCACTCTGTGGAGACTCGGGATGCTTCCAGAGAAAGACAGTCAGAGGTAGAAGGAGGAAATCAAGATGAAAAGGAGAATGGCCCTTGGGGTAGTTCTGGAGAGAGCCAGAGGAGGGCAGTTTCTAAAAACATCAGCCTAGACCAAGAGGGGAGGCTCTACAACTACCATAGAAGGCCAGGCCCCCAATGCCACCACACAGCACACTCCTCCAGGGCATCATCTCTGGGCATCTGCTCACAGGTGTCTCAGAAGAGCTCAGAAGAAAAGTTTTCAAGTGGAGAGCTCAAGTTCACCAAGGCCAAGAACAGCCGGGTATTGCATGCAGAGAGAGAAGGTACCACGATGTACCCAGAGAGTTCCTCATCTGAACAAGAAGCCCCCTCCAGCCCAAGATCTCCAAAGCAGAGGGAAGGAGAAGTCTGTGGTGTGGAAGATGAAGAAACAGCTGGAAGCTTAGTTTGTACCCAGGTCAAGGGTAGGGTAGATGGCATTGGTCAGGACGATTTAGATTTCTAGACATCAAATGATAGGATAGCAATGAGTCTGAGTGATACCTGCGTAAATATAGTACCCATGTACCCAAGAGAGGCTCAAGCCACTGGGGATGTATAAGGAACAAGGACAAAGACCAAGGAACTGCTACCCGCCCTGGAGCTGCAGGCCTAGCTACTCAGGAGGCTAAGGCCGGGTGGATAGGAAGTTCAAGACTGCCTGGGCTGTAGAGCAAGTTCAAAAGCCAACTTGGGCAACTTAGTGAAACATGGTTTCAGGGTTTGGGACTATAGCCCAGTGGCAGAGTGCTTGCCTAGCTTATCTGTGGCTCCGGGTTCAACCTTGACAGTAACAGCAATGAAAAGGACTTGCCAAAGATGACCACACCATGCTGTCCCTAGGAGCTAAACTTCATGACATATTACCAGATGTCAGCCGGTTCCTCTATCCACACAGCTCAAGAGCATAGAAGGGTCTGGAAAGACTTGTTGGACCTTCTGTTTGTGTTGGCTCTTGTGAGGGAGTTGTGCGCGTGCTCTCTCTCTCCCTATCGATCCGCCGTTACTTTCCCCTTGGTTTCTCTGAGAACACTCACCTCTTTTGACTTTGAGGAACTTTTTTTGCTGGTCTGGACTATATGTGGTGACTCTGCAGATGTGAAAATACTTGGAAAAAGCAGAGACATTCAGGGTCATGGGATAAAGTTTGTTCTCAGCCCCAATGTCCTAGGCTCCATCCCCCACAATTCATACTATTTGTAAGGGGAAGGGGAAGCAAGGAGCCAGAAGGAGAAGTGACTCCCATGGACCAGTGATTGTAGACAGCTTTGGAAAAAGACTGGGTGCAATGCTCTCCATCATATTCTGTATTCTGCATGTTTCATGGGGATTGTTCTCTGTATAATATTTATATCTGCTTTCCCAAACGCTTCAATATATAAGAACTTATTATAAATGGATAAGATAAATGCTTAAAAATTCAAATTCATATTTTAATTACTGAAGAATTTTTCTAGATGGTAATAGAAAAACTTATCATTGATCTTCCTCTCCTCCCTCTCTTCTTCTTCTCCCTCTCCCTCCTCTCCCTCCCCCTCCCTCCCTACCTCTGTTATATTAAATGCCAGTGCACGTGCCTAGCAGGCACATGTAGAGTTTAGAGGCTGACAATGGAAAGTCTTTCTCAATCATTTCTCCACTTTTTAAATTTTCTTTTATGGCAGGACCTCTTGTCAAACCTGGAGCTTGCTAGCTGGTGGAAGTGCCCCAGGATCTGCCTGTCTCTACCTCCCTAGTTCCAGACTTGCAAGCACATGTAGCCACAGCTGGATTTTCAAAGAGTTCCAGAGACCCAAACCCATGCTTTCACAGCAAGCACTTTACTTGCTGAGCCATCTCCCAAACCCATACATTTAAATATCTTTCAAATAGTCTTGCTATGTAGCCTGGGCTGGCTTTGTGGCCCAGACTAGCCTCAAACTTTAGATTCTGTTGCCTCAGCCTCTCCAATGCTGGGCTTATATTGGATTGCAGATATGTGCACCCAAACACCTTAGTTTTCCATTGTTTTGTCCCGAAAAATGTTTCCATATTGATGATGGCAGCGCAGGCTGGGAAATCCAGCACTCAGGGGGCTGAGGTAGGAGGAGCTCCATCTATCCAGGGCCTACCTGGGCTCCACTGAGAGTCTGAAGCCATCCTGGGATATGTGGCAAAACCCTGGCTCAAAAACACAAAATATACCAGCAGACCAGCAAGCAAAACATTTGCCCCCTGCCCAGGCCCCTTGGCCAACTTCTAGATGTTTCTTTTAGACTTGATTCCCAGGCTTGATCTTACAGGGTCAAAGGATGCCAGCATTTTGGTGAATCATAATTCATTTTGGGACATTGTTTTCTGAAGGTCAGCTTCAACCAGCATCCTCTAGATCCCTGAGTGCTCACCAGTATTCAGCATGGGCCTTGAAAAGCAGAGTTTGCTGGCTAACTACATGGACAAGCACGGGATCTCATTTCATGTGACACCATTCCAGATATATCTGAATACTAATGAAATTAAAACCCATTTTAGGGTTTAACAAGACCCATTCCCTATAAATTATATGACTAGACTAACTCATTTTTCAAAAAAGAACTGATTTACATGTGTCTTTTGCTGTTAGTTAAAGAAATTCTGCCATTATTTGAGTCTTTTATTACATTCATTTATTTATCGTTTCATAGGGGCTCTTGAGTACCACAGCATGTGTGTGAAGGACAGAGTGTTACTTTGTGGAGTTGCTTCTCTCCTTCCACCATGCGTGCACAAATTCACCTTTTAAAAATATATTTGAAGTACAGTGCTCCTGGAGGTTGAGCAGTCATTCCCAACTGAACTGATTTCCCAACAGTCAATCAGCAGTAGTTGATATTGACACTGGGTGGAGGACCTGGATGGCCATGCTCTAGCAAACCACTTGTCATTCAAAGTAGAGAATTGGCTATTCCTTAGCATCCTCCCTTTCCCAGAAGATTATATTGTGACTTAGATACAACCAGGTGTCTGGATGTGGCGGCATGCACAGTTGTCCATCTCTTATCACTACTAGTTGTCAAGAAACATCCAGAATATACCTCATCTATGATATGAGGTCTCCATCACCAAGAGATGTTCCAATGCCTCCCAAATGCCTGCAGCAGTCAGCCTTACCCTTATGTATTAAAATGGTGTTATTCATCAAGAGAAGACAGGAACTGTCAAGATGGCTCAGTGGGTAATGGTGCTTGCTGCCAAGCCTGAGGGCTTGAACTTGGTCCCCAGGACCCACATGGTAGAGGGAACGAACTGACTCCTGCAAAATGTCCTCTGACTTTTACACCAATGCTGTTTTATGTGTACATATTCTACACACAGCAAAATAAAAATACTTTTTTTTTAAAAAAAAAAAAGTAGAAAGGGCATGAGACCTGGGATTTGAGGACCTGGGTTCAAATCCAGAGCTCACATCTCAGTTTCTACACCATGACATAGGCTCCACCCCCACAACCTGCGTTGCTGTGGAAGCAAATGAGCAGATGCGAGAGACATCATTGCATGTACATTGGGGCATTTTCAACACTGCATTTATAATTCCCATTTGTTCAAAACTCATGATACACTTGGTATCATCCTGTACCGTTCACGGAATCAGTCCCATTTAACCTTCCAGGTGTATCTATCAGGTATGCAAACAGGCATTCTCATGTCCATTTCACAAAGGAAGCAATCAAGGCACAGGGGAGATACAGAAACTTGCCTAAGTTGACCCAGCTGCAAAGCCAGGATTGCAAAGGAGATACCACACGCTCAAAGTCCACGTCCTTTTCTATTGTATCTCCCTACTCTCTTTCTTTTCAATCTAGGTTGTGTGAATAAGTAACTTAACTAAAGGCACTGAACACTTTGCTGAGTGAATTCATTGCAAAATACTGAAAGTAACTTCAGTGGGATTCTTTCTGCTGGGACGACTGTATCATGTTCCCAGTAATGTTCTACTTGTGGGCAGATGTCAGGAGTGGCCTCCCCAGGTCCATGAAGCCAGTGTCACACTGAAAATGTATCTCTTTGTGGGATTTTCTTGGTTACAGATTCACCTACTTTAAGTCCGCATTTATTTCTGCTTTTTATCTTTTAAAAGATCTGTTGCTAATGGACAACCTGAGCTTTTTTATTTTTTTCACTTTGAGATAAGGAGTTTTATGGTGATAGCTAAGGTGGGGACCTTGGTGTATTCTCCCCGCCTTTTTACTATGGCAGCCAAGCTGTGCAGGCCTCTGTGGCAGAGCATCTCTTGGGAAGGTGGCACTCCTATAGCCTCAGCTGGCTGCTGGATAAAAACCCAAATCATCCATCACCCAAATGCTTACAAGGGCTCACAGTAGCCATGGCAACCCAAAACCTTTCAGCCTTAAATGGTTGGAGAGTGGAGCAACCCTTCTGCCCTACAGAGGTTCAGGCCCGAAAGGCAACTTTACAATGTCTAAGGAGCCAAAATCCATGTCTAGAGTTCACAACCAGAGACGGGTCATGTTGGTCTGGTTAGGACTTCTGCTCCATTCCTTTTTAATAAAAGAGGAATTGAGCACTCTGTTGAATTGACCAGTCCTATACCCAACTGACAGAGCCTTCCTGGAGAAGTGTTCACACAGCCAGGGGATTCTGGGTTCAGACCCCAGACTTTCTCCATATCTCAATATCTCAAACCTCTTGTCCTCCTAGAACACAGTCAACAACAGATCTTCTTCTAGTCCCTGGACATCCAGACCACACACCCCGATCCCCTGGCCCCACCTCCCTTTTCACCAGATCCCAGCACCCGAGTCTCCCAGACACAAGCTTCATTGACCACTCCTGTGGCCAGAGGAAAGGTGACCTGTGCTTAGGCTGTGAAGGCCTTGCCACAAGCACCAGCTTGCCGGCAGGGAGGCCTCAAGAGGGACTGCAAACAACCTCAGGCTAGCTGCTTTGTTCTTCACTTGCATGATCAAGAAGAGTACTCGAAGCAGAAAGAAAACAAGACAGTTCTGCCTCCCTGACACTCTGCCCCGGTGTCTGAGGTCAGCCTTAGCACAAATTTTCATAACAACCCAGGAAAACCAGCTCGACACCCCTCCCCACATTGCCTGCATGGAGTCAGTCATCAGATACTCCACCAGGACTGGACCACCCAGAGAGGCTCATGCACCATGCCCTACTCCATCTGTGGACCCACTCATGTGACTGCATGCTTGTACACATGCAGGCTCACAGGCATTCGCACACACAGTCACCCACTTAGACAGGTGTGTACACACACATTCACACACATGCACATCCTCGCTCTTGTGTACACAGTCACCTACGCACCACGTGCACAAACATTCATGTACTTCCAGAGGTCGGCTTCCTTGCCCTCCCTCATTACATGGTCTGCCCAAGGGACAATGGGGGTCAGCCAGAGTCAGTCTCCCTTTCCACTCATCTCTTGAGAGGCAATTAGATGGGTAAAGGTCATTCTCCTACCACAACCCTGTCCCTACTCCTCTGTGCAGAGCCCAACTGACAGCTTAACCTGCCCAGGCCTCTGTAAAGACCAATATCCAAGAACCCAGAAATCTAG